ACACAGCCTGGGGGGACAGGGGAGGGACACGGGAGGACACAGGTGGGAGGATATGGTAGAGACACAGAGTGACAGGACAAGGAGGGAGGTAGGAGAGGCACAGGGCAGAGGACACACGGGCACAGCCCGAGGGGGACACACCACACCCTCCCACAGAAGGAAGGGACAGGACACCACGAGGGTTTTTTCAAAATCAGTAAAACTTTATTCTATTTCCATTCTTTGCCATTAACAGAAAAAATTGGAGAAAGCAATGTTTTGTTTTACAAAGATAATGCATCTCCCAGAGAAGAAAACCCTAAATTGAGAATAGAGGTAACATGAAAAAAAAAAAAACCAAAACAAACAAAAAAAAAAAAAAAAAAAAAAAAAAAAAAAAAAAAAAAAAAAAAAAAGAAACTAAAAAAAAAAAAAGAAACAAAACCAAAAAAAATAAAAATAAAACCAACCAAAAAAACCCAACCAAACCACAGTACTGCCCTCTATTCCAAAAAGTAACTCCTGATCTTTTTGGTTAAAGTAATACTTAGACCAATCATTCAGTTTTCTTGCTTGATAAAGTGTGACTGGGGGGGAAATGGAGGGAAAGGGCAGGGGGAGGGAAGGGGCAAAAAAAACAAAAAAAAAAAGAAAAAAACAAACCCAAAAAAAAAAAAAGCACACAGACATCAACTATTCACCTTGATGAAAGTCTCAATACAGCTATGGAAAGCCTAAGTATTTATTCTCTTACAGTACACTGGGTGCCGGCTGCAAAAAGAACAAAAAAATGTATTCACTTCAGGCACAACTTCTTTCTTTTTAAATTTCAATCAGTAAAAGAAACTGGGTTTTAGAAGCTGCAGTGTTCTAAGCAGCAGCAGATTTGTGCATTGTTTTAAATATATTTAAATTACCACACGGATGGCACACCTCAGCCTTATGAAATTCTGCACTGCCTGTTCCAGAACACCACGAAATCCACCGGGAGAGACTTTGCATTGAGCCCCAAGGACTGGCTAAAGGAGCCAAGTTAAAGGAACTAGGGAAAACACTGTAACATTTGGCCATCAACTCAAAGTATGTTCATTGAGATCTGATATAAACTCAACTTATCCCACCCTCACATGGTCCTCAGAATTTGAGCGGTGAGCTGAAGTGAACTTTCCCCTCCGCTCAGGAGGGAAGATAATGCAACTGAGCACTAAGGCATAATAAACCTTGGCCAAAACAAAACAAAACAAAACAAAAAATTAAGGATAAAGCATAATAAGTGTAGTGCAGAATTCCACAAGGTCTGCCCGAGCAGAGCTGTCTATGTTTACTCACAGAGGCAATGGAGATTGCAGTTACCAGTTGCGTTAAATGCACCATTCAAAACAAGCTTCTAAAATGTGATACTATAAGGCGCCACCTTAAAGTTCTCCAGAATGCAACTGTGCAGAAATTTAAAATGGTTTCAGAAATTTAGTTTTAAACATAACATGAGAAGGTGTTAAAACCGGTGGAATAGCTTCTGAGAATTTGGAGGAAGGGATGAACAGGGAGATATTCAGTACCCTTCGCCAGCCCCACCGCGCCCGACCTCGGCGTGGGGTGGGATCAGTCTATAACACCAGCCTGGCGGATCTTTCTCTCTGCACCAAATCCCTGCAAGGCAAACAAAGCAAACCTTTAACTCCAGCAGCATAATCATGAAGTCATTTAGTATGGAAAAGACTATTTTAAGGTCGCAAAGTCCAACCACTGACCACCACTGTGCTTGAGGCAAAGCTGCTCTGTTTTGCCCAAGCACAGTGTTAGCATGTTCCTGATTAGCCACATTTCTACAGGAGCAGACAGCAACAACACAAGTTCTGTGGAGACAGGGAGCTGAACATGAGCCAGCAGTGTGCTCAGGGGGCCAAGAAGGCCAATGGCATCATGGCCTGGATCAGGAACAGCATGGTCAGCGCAGGGACAGTGTGGTCAGCAGGACCAGGAGGTGATTCTGCCCCTGGACTCGGTGCTGGGGAGGCCACACCTTGAATCCTGTGCTCAGCTCTGGGCCCCTCAGCTCAGGAGGGACATTGAGGGGCTGGAGCAGGTCCAGAGAAGAGCAATGAGGCTGGGGAAGGGACTGGAGCACAAGTGCCATGAGGAGAGGCTGAGGGAGCTGGGGGTGTTCAGCCTGGAGAAGAGGAGGCTCAGGGGAGACCTTAGCACCCTCTGCAACTCCCTGACAGGAGGTTGGAGTCAGGTGGGGGTTGGTCTCTTCTCCCAGGCAACCAGCAGCAGGACAAGAGGGCACAGACTCAAGCTCTGCCAGGGGAGGGTTAGGTTCAGTGTTAGGAAGATATTTTTTTAGGGAGAGAGTGCTCAGGCATTGGAATGTGCTGCCCAGGGAGGTGGGGGATTCACCATCCCTGGAGGTGTTTTCAGGATGAGACTGGATGTGGCACTTAGTGCCATGGTCTAGTGACCACAGTAGGGTTGGACTTGATGATCTTTGAGGTCTTTTCCAACCTGGTTGATTCTATGATTCTTTACAGCCCTGGATAGCTCAGACTCCAGACACCTAACTCCACAGGCTACAGACATGTCACTCCTCCTGCTTATCAAGTGGTGGCAAAGCCAAGTTTCGGTAGAGTGATTTCACTTGCTGTGTCTGAGAAGGTTTGTAAGTGAAAAACAAACCAAGACAACCATTACGGGCTGGAACACAAGCAGCAGTTGGCTGCTCCTGTACTGTGTGCTCCTCTGAAAGCACAGCACAAACACACCTGACTCTCACAGAACGTGACTACCTCCCTGCAGGATGGGAGCAGACACCAGCTGTGTGCCAGCTCAGGGTGCCAAGAGAGGAAGCAATGCTGTTACCCCAAGTGAAGCACAAGCTGCAGTCCCTGTGCCCTTGTGGCCTGTACCTTTGAGTTGTCAGGTCCCCGGGGCTGGCGGAGCACTGTGAGCCGCGGAGCGTTGGCATCGTCCAGGTTGATGCTCTTTAGACGATTCACAAGTCTATCAGGACGTGGAGCAGCAACAGCCTTGGCGCCCTCACTGTAACACAGGCACACACAGGGCACTGGTGACTTCCCTGAGCTGGCCCAAGTCACCTCATGCATTTAGAGTCCCTTACTACAGTGACCTGCAGCAGTTCTAGACTGTCCCTGTGAAGCCACGAGTGCAGTTTATCCTGTGTGACAGCAGACCTGGCTGACACTCTGTCTCTGCCCCAAACTTTCCACACAGGACTGTGAAGCAGCAGAGGCTCAGTGTTCTCCAAAAGGTGTCCTTCATGAGCAGAGCTCTTGCATTTACACCCTCATGGACATGCAAGTAGTATCTCCTAAGTTTCTGTTGCCCAGACAAGCTGTGGCTGCTCCATGCCTAGAAGTGTTCCAGGCCAGGCTGGATGAGGCTTGGAGCATTCTGGGCTGGTGTAAGGTGTCCCTGCCCATGGCAGGGGGTGGAACAGGATGACCTTTAAAGGTCCTTTCCAACCCAAACCAGTCTGGGAATCCATGATTTCACTGCAACACTAAAGGCTTAGGAGTTGCCAGTATGTCATGGCAAAGCATAAACATCTCTGGTGACAGGAACAGAGAATTTTGAGGGGAAAAATGAAACATTAGCTTCCTGTCCCTGCAGAAGTGCTATGATGAGCTTAAACAAAATCCATATTGAGCAGTTTTCAAGTGTGTAAATAGTTCAAATGCAAAAGAAACACTCATCACCCTTAAGAAATGCCATGCCAAAAAGAAGAGAGTCCCTGACAGTATCAGGTTTCTATTTAAAAACAAAAGCTGCTCTCGAGAAAACAAGTGGTAGCACTATGTGCTGTGCTGGCCAGAGGTCAGCATCCACACAGGAATACCACCAGCTTTCTCATCACTTATTCCTGCTTGGAATCCTGTATCCAAATTCCTGCTATTGATAACAGATTCAAAACAAAGTAAGCCATCAGGAATTTGGCAGAGCTGCGAGTGCTGCTGCCCTGCACTCTAAGTGCTGGCAGCTCCCAGGTGAGGCTCTCCCTGGAGCCAGCAGAAATGCAGAGCTCCTGCTGCAGCCTGCACTGCTCTGCTGTGCTGCAGTGTGCCAGATCAGTCCCTGCAGAGCCTCACCAGACACGCCACACGTTACAGGCACTGCATTTTCCTGTGCGCTGGTTCAGGATTACAGAGAACTCCACTTCATCCCCAGCCTGGAGCTCCACACCATCCTGGACTTCTTTGACATGGAAGAAGAGCTTTTTGCTGTCACCAACTTCATAGTTAATGAAACCAAACTGAAAAGCAACACACAGCACAAGGTTATTGATCTCCTCACGCTCCAAACACACACAATAACTTAATAATTTACAAAACACCCCAAACTCTGCAGTGCCTAAAAGAAGTGGAAATGCAATTTCTACACTGATCTCCACATTGTCTGGAAACAACAGTGCTGGAAATCTTGGGTTTGTACAGTCACATTTAAACTCTAAAGGCTTTAGAACAAGTACTGAGAATTGAGTAACTTCCATTTTTCATTCTACTTGTTGTATGAACTAGCAAAACTCTTTAATCATTCTGAAATCAACTAATGAGGCCTTTGCATTTCAGGTGGACTAATCACTGGCTGCTTAATGCTGTGCAGAAGCTTCTTATAGAAGCAGAAAATACCCAGTTTTGTTTCTTATTTTGGACATTTTTTTAATGCTGTTCAGCAGAAACTAGTTAGAGCAATTTTTAGGACACCTCAAAACCAGATTGCCAGAATCAAGTGCTGTACTGATGTTTCAGCACCAAACCAAGCACTGAGTTCACCTTCACTCAGGTCACATCACTTGGGACACACACAGAGCTGCTTGCCCAGAGTTGGAGTGCAGAACAATCCATGTGGGCACACAACTTCCTGAATCAAAGTGCTGGAGTGGTTCTCAGCTCCCTGTGCCAGCTCAAGCAGGTATTTCCCACCACCACAGCCCTTGCCTGGGTAGCAGAGCCACTCACCTGGTCTTTGACACACTCCACCGTGGCCCTGCGGAAGGGGGTGATGTTCACTGCCATTGTCTGCCCATTCTGCCCAAGCACACACAGCTGGAACTTTACTGTCTCCCCTTTCTGCAGACAGTCACCTTTGTTTGCCATTCCAACAATTCCAAATGGATACACCTCTCCTTTCATCTCACCTGGGGGGGAGGAAAAAGTACAGGAGAGAACTAAGAGGCTTTTCCCATCTGATTCCAGATTACCAATGTCAGAAATGCTACTTTTACTGCCAACTTAGCAGTGGGAATATAAACCTCAACACCTCTGTCTGCAGTGTATTCAGCCTGTGCACTCCTGGAGCACTTGTGAAAGGAAGTTAAAGTGTACAAGAACCAAATCTTACCATCCTCCATGACTTCAATCATGCCCTGGTACTCAGTCTGTGTGGGATCTACACTCCTCAAAGGACGAATTACTTTACCAGAGTAAACAGTTGGATCAGCTTCTTCAGTAATACCATTCACTGCAAAGAGACAGTGAAAGAACAGGATGTTTCGAATCAGAGTTTGTTTTAAAATGCATTTAAATAAGTGATTGAGACTGACCAGGAGCAAACAGTTAGCACTGCATGACACCAAATCACATCCACAGACATTTCATACATGGAAGTAGAAAAATATGCAGTTTCTCAAGAAACTTGAGGCAAATCAAAGTATTTCACTTCTCTTTCACTTCAATAATCCAGTAATCTTTCAGTATGCATTTACCCACTCCAAGGCCTTAATACTCCCATCTGCCTTCCTCCTGCAACCTTCCCTCTGTGAGGTACAGCACAGCTAGTGCAGTCACCAATTTGGGCAGTTCTGCCACTTGGTGTCTCCTTACAAATCCCCAGCTGAAGAGTTCAGAGCTGCTACTGCCTACAGGACTCTTGGTCTGTGCCTATCTGTTCTCAGGACACACAGGCAGCAGCTTTCAGGAAACCAGGGACACCACATTGAGCATCTTCTCACCCTAAGCCCCAACTTTAGATGAGTTATTACCAAACTTTACCCCTCAGCATCTGCCAAGAGCTCTGCAAGCAGAAAGCACCAGGCACAGCCTTACCTGCATGTGTTTTGTTCACCTTCTCTGCACTAACTTTGTTTCCTTTGCCTTTTGACAAGCTGTACTCCACAGTGTCTCCAAGTTCCAGGCTATCAATATCTCCACAGTATTCACTAGAGGAAGAGAAGTATGTACACTTTTGCTTTAGTTACATGACAACAGCTCATCCAACAGTAACAGAAACTACTGAACTAGCTCAGCACTGCAAGATATTCTCAGTGAGGAAAGTGATGCATTTCACCTGGATTTCTTGGCCTGGGATTGAGTCACAGCACACCAGGACTGTTCACAGAGAAGCCTGAACCAGTCCAGCAGAGGCAGCAAATGGAACTTTAGATATCTAACACGTGTGTGTGTGTAAAGGTTGAACATCAACCCAACAGAACTCCACACCTCCCACCCCCCTCAGGCACACACACAGACAAACAATAATCCAACTGCCACTTACCTGTAGTGGAAGAAGATCTCTTTATCATGATTGGCTGTTTCAATAAACCCAAAATTATCTTTCAGGGCTGCCACATAGCCCAAAAGCCTCTTAGAGCTGTAGTTTCGTCCCAGCATCCTGACAGAAACAGCTGTTTGCAGACCAGTTCTCTTCACCTCACACACACAGAACTCAACCTGTTGAAGAGATGTGAATCGATACTAGGTAGAAAAAAAAACCCCTAAGCCACAACCAGCAACAAAATAACCCCAAACCAACTCATTTCAAAGCTGTGTAGCTCTAAATCGGTGCACAGGTTCCTCAGGAAAGGAATTTTCTAGCCACTGCTCCTCCACAGATCCTCAGGAAAGGAAATTTTCTAGCCACTGCTCCTCCACAGACATGTCAGTCATTTCCTACATTCCAGAGAGCAGCAGTCACACCTGGGATAGCTGCAAGGCAAAACAGCCTCTGGCACTCAGCTTTTTACCCATGGAAAATAAGGATCTTCCTGCTCAAGTGGTTCACCTCCTTTCACCAGCAGTGAGCAGCCCAGTGAGATGTAGCTCAGATCTGAAACAGGAACCAGTGCCTTCCCAGCATGGCTCCTGCACACTGGCTGCTCTTCCAGATCTCCAAGCCTCCTCCCTTCCCATTGTCTCTCAGGCTAATTTGTTTGAAAGGGAATGTTCTCCCTCTTCAATAGCCATCTCAGTCTCTGTGCTAATTAATTTCCTCTAGACAAGCAGAGCCCACTGTCTTGGTGACAAGAATTCCTTGTTCAAACAGCAACATTTACACACCAAGACACTGTTTTCATCTAGGTGTCACCAGGTTTGAGGATATTCTTAAATTATTCAGCAGATTGAGCCACTCAAACCTACTATCACTAGTAATATTACACAGATGCCTTGTCCTTTGTTCCAAGAGGGAGAACAAACCCACTAAGAGGCAAAGAGAAGTTCACCCCTCTCAGTGCACAGAACAGTATTTCCCAATAGCAAATTTAGTTATATTGCCTTATCTCCTATCTGGGGATTAGTAGATCCTTCCACATCCTTGGCCTGGTAAGGAATGGTCAGCTTTACTCCACAGTCATCATACACAATTATTCCATCCTCAGCTTCCTGAAAACAAGAGGTGAGAATCCAACAATTAGTGTCTCATTTGTCAGCAAACAGTTTCCTGCACACAGTTCAAGCACTATCTAAGTAGCTTTACAGTAACTGCTCAAAACCACAACAAAACTCTGAGTGAGAAGCTTTAAATGATCCCAGATGAAAAGGAAATGAAGTATCAGTACCAGGAGGTATTTATGGGAACTTTAAGTCTTCTGGCATTGTTTAAAACAGCATGACAAAACAACAGAGGTTCTTCTCTAACCCTTCATTTCAACCAATTCTATCCAGTATCTTGTGTAGTGGGAGGTACAAAGAAACTTGCCATCAAGTTCAGGAACCCTCAACATAATGATCATTAATGATGCTCTAATGATCTTGTTCACACCAGTTAGGTTTCACACTGCTGTCAGCAGCTATTCCATGTAGTTCATATTGATACAGGACAAACAGTGCTTTGAAACCAGTTGAAGGACAGATTTTAAGGAAGCAGCCTCAGACTCCAGTGCCAGGAGTGAGGAACAGGTACTCAGAAGTACAAGAGCAGCATTACCTTCTCTTTGCCTTTATTGGGGCTAGTGGCTTTGGCTGGAGTGGCTTCTTTGTCTATAGTGCCCACAAAACGATGCTCTGATTGGGTGTGGAAAGAAACTGTACCCTTGGGAAGCTTCTTAATCCTTATGGCATGGTTCCTCTGGGAAGACAGCATATCCTGGAAAATAACACCCATCAGAGCTTAGACAGACTGCACAGAATTCCTTCAACAACCAAGATTTCACAAAAGGATTCATCTCACTTACAGGAACGACAGTGAACTCTACTTCATCAGAAATATGGAGCTGATTTCCATCCATGATTTCACTGAAGTGGAAGAACATGCGAGCGTCCCTGTCCACACACTTGATGAAGCCAAAGCCATCCCTCATGGCTGCAATCACACCCTGAGAACAGCCAAACCAACAGTTACAGCTTTATTACTGCAGGTACTGCACAGCTGAGTTTGCAGCAAGACCTGAATCCTGGGAAAACACTTGGTTTATGCAATGTGCTTCCCTACAAACCCTAGTGCTGATGGTTGTGGCCAACCCAAAGTGCAAAGAGGTTGTGCTCACCTAGTTCCTCAACCTCATTGCTTAGGAAGAGTGGAGATTAATTTAAGCCACTGCCAAGAAGGTCTATGGTCAAAGAACCTGACAACTACTACACAGTGAACACAAGCTTGGAAGCAGGTCTTACAGATAGCAAAGTTTAGGAGAAAAACATCAGATTTCTCGAGGCAAATAAAGATTTTTTTTAACAATACTCTCCCATCTGTGCCTGTGTGTTGGGGTAAGCATGTGACACAAGGTTTTAGTGGCCTTCCTGGTAAGCACTGGAGATGGAATGCTGAATGATAAACAGGATATACTGTCAAAAACACCAAGCCCTAGTCCCAGAACTGTGAAAGATTGAATTCATTAACATATTCTGTTCAACCCATTTACTCCAGAGCCTTTAGCAAGTCTCAGGGCATGCTGAGAGGATCTGAATGGCAATGCAAAGGTACTTTTCACCTTTAGGAACAGCTTCCACAAACTCCAGTGAAACAGCCAAACCTTCTGAGAGCTGCCAACACTTGTCACCTCAGTGACAGCTCAGTTCAGGCAGATTTCTGCTAGCCAGAGCAGAAATGTAAGAAATCTAGAGGACAGAACCCACAAAACTCAGAGGCTGAGTCAATGCTCAGTGGTTCCCTTAAGGCAAAGGGTCCCCAAATCACAGCACACTGATGTGGCAGCACTGTGACTGGACTCCAGTTGAAAAGGAAGGCAAAGTTAGCCTAGCTGGAAGAGAACCAACATTCCAAGTTCCAGGAATGAAAGATATTCTCTAATACTCCTTAGCACATCCACCTTAGTCCCTGTAATCCACAAAGAGGTTTTTGTATGGAAAGAACACAGTGCTCTACCATCCTTCTGCTTGGCCCTAGGTTGGCCAAACAACATGAAATGCAAAAGCTGCACACAGTCCCTCCTCCAGTTAACACTTCTCAGCTACCTGAACCAGAGCAGCCCCAGTTCTTCCAGTTTTCCTAAGGAACATGGATAGTCACCTAGTTAGTCTCAAGCACGTGAACTGTTAAACTAACAGGTCAAGGCTGCATTACTCCTGTCTGCTCTGATCAGCAATCCCCTCCACCCAAGGTCTAAAACCCTCCCATTTACTCAGGAGCTAACTTTTCATTCTCCTAAAGCAGATGCAGAGCATTTAATTCTGAATTTTCTACCATTTGAGCACTTTGAATTGCTCATCTGAGGTTTGGATTTCAGAGGAGGCAATGGAAGACACTAGTGATTGTCAGAGTTTTATGAAGACAACTCCCCATGTTTGATTTTCCTTTCCCCTCCAGAATTAGAAACTTGTTAAGACAGATACTTGCCATTTCCCTAGTTTCATTAGTAAACTGGAAGGTGTTGGGGAGAACCTCGATGTTGGTGGCTCTTTCCAGCTTGTCACGTCTGTCCGTGGAAATGTTGAATCGAACATGGTCACTTTCCAGCAAGGTCACCTTGGATTTTGTGTCTTTGTCTCCAAAGGGAAGCTCTTTAGGGATCACAAAGTCCACTTTGATGCGGCCAGGTAATGGATCACTCTGCCAGACACACAAAGGTGAGTTCACAAGGCTCAGCAGAACTACAGACAGCACAAGGATTTCTGCCAAATGCTGCAGGACTCAACCTCTGCTTCGTTTCTACCTCTCCTCATTTGCAGTTTACTGCCCACAGCCAAAAGCAAGGTGGGTTTTGTTGTTGTTGGTTGGTTGGTGGTTTTTAAGCACCAAACATGTATTGCCAAAGGAATTAAGGCTCTATTTCAAGAGTTTAGTTTATAATCACACTTCTAAAAGGCAGTGTCTTCCTTAGTTTCATAGCATGTTAAGGGGTTGGAATGGAGCTTAGAGGTCATCCAGCCCCAACCTCCTCCCCTGGGCAGGGATATCTCCCAGCAGAGCAGGTTGCTCAAGGCTTTTTTAGCCAACTTGGCTCTGAACACTGCCAGGGCTGGGGCAATCACAGCCTCCCTGGGCAACCTGGGACAGTGTCTCACCACCCTCACAGGGAAAACTTCTTCCTAAGACCTCACGTAAATTTCTCTCTTTCAATTTCTCCCCATTACCCCTTGTCCTATCATATCAGGTCCTAATGAAGAGTTAGTAAATGTTCAAAACACACAAAATCCCCCAAAACAACCACAGAGACTCATCTAAAACCTTAATGGAAGTGCTCATGAACACTCTTTAAACACACAAAATCCCCCAAAACAACCACAGAGACTCATCTAAAACCTTAATGGAAGTGCTCATGAACACTCTTT